TAAAACATTCACATAATTTCGTTAAGGAGACTAGATGCATTAAGAAATTAGATTATGGGAGATATATGTTCAGTTCGTGGTTGGCTTAGCTGTCACTATGCTCTCTACACTCTTCTGTTCCCCTCATCTATCAGATTAAGAAATGTTTTGTTTCTATTATCAAATTTGTGTATGTACTCAAATTTTTATGTGTGTTCAACACACACTATTTGTTCTAAAATGACATTTTGCTCTGTATCACCAAACTATCCATGGTAGGCCTCCATTGTCCAAGTGCTGCCTCTCATGAGGCACAGCCGAGTTCCATCAGGTTTTACTATTTATTCATTAAAATAAAACAGCAGAGAAACCAGAACACTTAAATTCATCCCACATAAAATCCCCAAGCCCATGTTCAACTTTTGAATATTTGGTTTGGTTTTATACCAAATGTTATGGTGCTGCATTCGAATAACTGACATGTTATTACTACATTTCTTTAAAATAAGCTATTTTAGATTGCATAAAAAACTTCCACTTGAGAGTAACTTGACATATTCCTATTCTAATATTTATTTCTGTAATATTCCAATAAATAGAATAAAACTTTATTGTCCCAATTTAAAAGCTACATTTCCAAATGGCTTCAATAAACCATTAAGCAAAATATGAAGTCAGAGCAATATATCAGTGAAAATTCTTTTTTTGAAAGTATTTTCCATGGAAATTCCCCACATTTGAAAGGTATACATAGTTATAACTGATATTAAATGAATACTTTCCTAGTTCTCTTCACCTATCTGTTCCTTTTCCTTGAAGGAGCTTAAGAATTGGCTCCCAACATAGAAAAAAAACGTTATATGGGAAATTCAAAAGAAATAGCTATTGGAAGAGAAGGGTGCTCCCCTTTGCATTACAATGCATCTTCATTTTAACGTTTACATGTCCTGCGGTCTTCCAATACCACTTCCAGACAGTCATCAGACTCCACTTACCCAAGGAAATAAGACTGATTCATCAGTGTAAAATATTGCATTACCAAACTGATATATTTAAGCAAACCTTATTTACGTCATAAATGTGGTTGCTTCTTATGACACAAAATGCACCACGTTTCAATATCATGCCTGTTTACTTCCACTTAATTAGACACAATAGTTTTACGTATCAAATCAGGACTCCCAATTTCTGGAAAAACATTGTTTGATACAATATTCATTTTGCTACAACTAAGTAAGAGTTAAGGAATTCATCAGAAAAATGCATGAAAAAGTTCAATGCAGAAAACTGCTTCGTTCTACTAGCCTTTATTAATAGAAAAAATTATATCATTCACTATTTTCAGATTCTGAAGCTAGGTTCAGATATATTCTGTGCCATACACATATAAAAATGGTATAAAAACAAAATTTAAATTATTATTTTTTTTTAGAAATAAGCATATCTTTTGTATAGACAGTATCTTTTGTATAGACATTTCTTTAGTATGGAAAACAATACTGCTTTATACACAAAAACTTCTAAAAAATCAAGCTTTCCATATATTTTATAGAAATATATTCTTAGAACTATGCGAATAAAGATTACAACTGTGTCAAATTGCTTTTAGTTGGTACAAAATATGTAGCCAACTAATCATGGAAGGAAAATTTTGTACTTCCCTTTCTTGAAAAGCAATAAAGTATTCTAATCCCCATAACCATTTACATACATGCACTGGCAATAATGTATGTTGCAGTATCTTTGAAATAAACACACCATAACTCAAGGCTTGCTTTTACAATAAGTGAAATTAATGCAGCCACTGGTTGAAAATGTGTACATGCAAATCTTTAAGTTAAAATATGTTAGATTATCAACATATTTTTTCTGTGTAGCTAAAAGGTGGATATTAAATTTAATATAATACAGCATAGGTCATTTTAAAATTTAGAAAATTCTTTAGGACAATATATGTTATGTTTATAAAGCTACATCAAACTACATTTCAGAATGAATGTGTCAGCTGATAAAAAAGAACCTGCTATGATAAGACCATTCTAACTGAGAAATACAAAAAAAACCCAACAGCATGTGAAATCAGGTTACCTAAAATTTATGTAACTCTACACCAAGGTATTATGAAAATTATACAATCTCATTCATTTCCACTCATGTCCTGCTCTTCCATAGTACCCTCAAGTTTATTTTATGTTTCATGCAGACATATTACTTTTTCTAATGATTTTTGTCTCTTTCTGTCAAAGCACAAAGCATACCAATATGGGCATTTGCTCCAATATAGCCCAACAGATGGTATTTTTTTATTAATAAAATGTGGAAGTAACTAGTAGGTTTTTAATGGGGAAAATTACAAAATAAATTTACAAAAACAGACTGGATCACTAAAACAAGAAGGATGGTTTGGCATATATAACTTTTTAACGTATGGTAACAAAACAAACTTTTAAGTTCCATTTTACCTGATATTATTTATTCTTTCTGATGAAAAGAAATGGGATTTGAGAAAATCCCATCTATCTCTTGAGCACAAATTAGATACCACTTTTTAAATGACCATGCCATTCTTCAGTTTTTGATATAGCTTCCAAACCGAAGTTTCAAAACAACTCTGCCTAGCAAACACATCACTGTACTTTAAACAGAGTGATGTTTTCTATCCCATATTTTAGGAAGGTTAAAGCACACACAGAGGCAAGAATCATGACAGATAGCAGATCCTAAAGTGAGTTTATTAACTCTTTAGGTAGATTAGGCAACACTTGTTTTTAAACTAACTACAAATCAAAGTCTCTATTTTTTTTAATGGCTCGACACTACTACCATGGTACCAACAGATACGTGCGGGAGAAAAAAAAGGGGGCTACGTGTTCTGAGCTCTGCTTACCTAAAATTTGCATCTAGTCACGTGCCATTTTTAGAAGATGTCCCCTTCTGAGATAATCAAGATACTTGTATAATAGGGAATTTAGACTTAATTACCAAACTTTAATACTATGTTATATAGGTCAAGTGAGTATGTATACCTTTCTCCAGAAACAAAGGAATTCGGAATAATAGGATTTCAGATTTAATTGTAGAAATAGCAAAATATGTTTTGAGAATGTCATTTACCGCAACACAAATCAATATTAAATGCTTTTTGCAGGAAGCACACTTTCAGAAAATGGGCCATAAAGCTTTCTGGGATCCGACCCTAATTACTAGAGCAGGCTCTTGCTGTTTGTCTCTCTCTTCAATTATTTACAGGGCAAAAAAGCCAAATGGCATCGCATTAGCTATATTAAACGGTGTGGACTTGGTTTCTAACTTACTAATAGTACATAAAAATTACTAAGGTAAATGTGCCTGTAGAAACATGGCTTTTTTTCTTCTTCACCTGAGTGGGTGTATTTATTATTCATATTGTTAAGTGTTGAATAAGCTGTCCTTTAGGCACCCAATCCTGCATAATTTAAACAAGTGCATTAAATATATAAGACATCTAAAAAGTAGTGCATTGATTATGCCACAGAATTTCTTTGAACAGCTACCACGTAGCTCACAGAAAACTCGCATCTCTTGCAAGTTCCTGAAAACAAATACTGTGAGAACGACACAGAGATGAATAAGGGGTATCCTTCCTGCTACCATTTTGCTGCTTTCTGGTGACCCAAAGTAAAGTGGAAATTGGGTGAAGTGAAAATGAGGCCCTGGAGTGTTACGACATTTCTGGTCTCGATACTGACAAGTGTCCTTTTTAGGTAGACAAATACAGGGCTATGTCCTAAGTACATGAAAACGTGGACCACACACATTCTAAGAAAGAAAAGGCTGTATCAGAGATTCTTTGTACCAGGCCAGAAATGCCCAACTACCAGCAAGCAGATCATGATTACAACCTCCCAAATAAAGTTCGGACACTGCATCTATACCTGATTCTTTTGTGATCAGAAGGGCACCGGAGTTGTGAAATATGTTAATGGCTGAAGAAGGTTGCTGCGTCCAGCTTCCAACCTCCTAAATTCTGGCGGCTGCTGCCAAAGCAGTGAAATCTCCGGTCTTTGTGGCCCAAACAATTTTTTAGATGAGTTCGGGAGGCATCAAATTCTTATTGTAAAAATAAGATAGGCCCACTAACAAAGTACCCAGGGTCCCTAGAAAGCCAGGTGCAATTTATATGGCTGTATGTCATCAGCTGTTGTTACCCAAGAGTGTGCCGAGGTCACTTTTTTTAAAAAGCAACATTGGAAATCGATCTGTGGCAAACATATAAGGTAGTTTTGGTTTTGTTTCTTTTTTAACCAAAGTCACTTCTTTCTCTGCACTGAAATCTGCCCATTGTCCCTCCTTTGCAAAACTCTAGAGATTAAAAGGGACATCAATGAACGCGAGTGAACTTTGGCCACTTTTCTACCCAAAACACCAGCGTAAAAGTAGAAATCAGTAACCAGGTGAAGTGCCACACCGCACAAAGATCAGAGGCGAGGGGCGGACGCGCAGGGCCGGAGGCGGGGAGGAAAATGTCCCGGCCCGGCCGCCCCTCCAGCCCCAGTCATCGCGCGCGCGGGAGGTGGAGGGGCGTCCCTGGGGGGCGGGAGGCTCCGCGCCTCGGCGAGGGGAGCGAAGAGTCACAGGTCACAGGGCGAGGCCCTTGGAAAAGGGGTCGAAAAGCCGGGCCACCAGCGGATCCAGACGCGGACGCCAGGCGACGACCGCCGGCCAGCCAGGGCTCGGCGAGGGGCGCCGCTCGGCCCCGCGACCCTCCCCACTGGCCCGGCCAGGAAGGGGCCTGCGGCTCTTTCCTGTCTAGTCTCTCCCCCCGCGGTTTTCTGTAACCCGATCCCCGCACTCCGCTCCCCGGGAAGCCGCCGCCCCGCGCGCAGCCCGGCTCTGCCCAGGCCAGCGCTATAGTTAGCAACCTTCCAGCAACTCCGCCCGGGGGCGGCGGGGGCTTGCCGCGCGCCCCTCCCCGGGACCGACCCCGCGGGCGCCCCTGGGCCCCCTCCTCCGGCGGCCACCTCCCCGCGGCGCCCCTTTACCTTCGCTTGCAGATACTGAGGGTAGTAGTAGGTGGCGTACTGAGGGTACATCTGCTGTTTCCACACTTTGCCCATGAAGCTGGAAGGGAGCCTGCCGTGCAGGGTCGCGGACACTTTGGGGTTTCCAAGTCTCGGGCTCTCCTGCCTCTCCCTTTCCGGCGGCGGCGGCGGCTGCGGCTGCCTAGGCGGCTGCTGCTGCTGCCGCTGCTCCACCTCCCAGCCGGGACCAGACGTCCTTCTCCTCCTCCTCCTCCTCTTCCTCCTCCTCCTCCTCCTCTTCCTCCTCCTCCCAGGCAGAAAGAAAGACACTGCAGAGCGCAGAGGGCACCCCGGACAGGGCGCTCCCAAGGAGTTTCCTCCCAGAGCCCGACTGCTCCGGGGCTGCCAAGGGCTGGCGCGCTGGCCGCGGTCGGCTCGGGCGAGCCGGCTGCGCGGGGCTGAGAGGTGATCAATACAAGCGGAAAGTGCGGCGGCGGCGGCTGCGCTCGGTGCCAGGCGGCATCTGGGGTGGGTGCGCCCGTTGGGGAGAGAGGAGAGGGGCTGGCGTTCCAAGGCCGTGGGGGAAGGGCGGGCGGGGGCGGGGCCTGGGCGCCGCCGAGCCCGGGACCCGCTGGAGGTGAGGGCTGAGTTTTAACCACTCCTCACCTCCCAGGCTCTCGGTAGGACGGGCGGAAGCCCTGGGAGTCCAGATCGCTTTGTGTCAGGGGTGGGGAAATGAGTGGGAGTGGGAGTGGGGGTATGAGTGGGAGTGGGGGCGAGGGTGGATTGGGGGGACCCTGCTTAAGAACTGCAGGGCGGGCACCTCTTTAGCTTTCCCGAGTTTTTATCTTCGTAAGGGGGAGGGGAAATAAGGGAAAAGAGGAAATCTGATTAATCTCTCACTTCCCAACCCCCCAGTAATTTTTTTTCGCAAGGGAAGGAAAATGATTTAATGCCCAACAAAGCTGGAGTCCGGACACCTGGGTTCTGTTCCTCCCACACACCACCTACCCAGAGCCACAAGACTAATCTTCTAGGTGACCTTGGGAGGGTTAGCCACCTTCGGTTTGGTTTTCCCAGATGTGAGAGGTGAAATCATGCCCCTTGCACAAGGGGTGGCAAAGCACACACACGCACACACACACACACACACACACCTCACAACAAACAGACGGATCCTTCTAAGGGGGTGATGCCGCAAAAAGGCAGAATGTTATTAGAGGACGCAATATAGACATCAGCTTTTCTCTGCCTGTTTCTAATGCTGCCAGACAGTCTGTCAACTCCCACTCAGGAGCAAGGAAACTCCCTGAGTTTAGAATATTTTAAGGCCATTTTGAAAGTCACTCTGGCATACTGTTGCAGTGTGCTTCGGTGACATATAAAATCAATCTCTCTGCCTCTCTCCATCTCCTAATTGTCACAGCTCTAGACAGCCCCAGACGAGCAGTGTTTCAGTTCACTACATAACTGGATATAATTTAATGGAGTTAATTGGTCCCCGAAGCTGCCTGCAGAAGACTTTTATATTCCAGCTCAAAAAGAGAGCTAATACCAAAATGTACATACAGATAGCATAGGTAAGCAAGCATCCTCAAATTAGGTTTTATTACATTTAATAAAATGTAATAAAACATTGTGTTTGTTATTAAATAGACCTTGATTACTTTGTCATTTTGGTTTTTGGAGAGTCTTGTTAACAGTACAAGGTAAATTAAACTCAACTGGAATGTGTGATTCTGTTAAACAGTTATATTTTTATATGATAACATTTTAAAAGAGGGTTAGTAAGATACTTTAGAACAATGACAAAATAGGGACCTGAAACCCTTATAATGGTTATATGATTTACAGAAATTCCTAGATCATACATATTTGACAAAAACAAAATAAATAAAAGTATAGGTGCGAACATTTTGGCTATACCAGGAGGCAAATCATGTCCCTCTCATTTACCTATGTGAAATCCTGTAAGGAAGCTAGTATTTACCGTGTCTGCTATACTGTAGGCACTGTTGAATGAAGTTAATGCAGATCTGGAAGGTAAGGTGGAGTGATTCACCCTCAGGCTAGGGGAGACTAAAATAGTGCCCAATGTGGGCCCTTTTAATGTTTTTAAACAGAGAACTGACATGAACTAAATTGTGCTTTAGGGACCTGGGAAGACTAGGAATGATGGTTTGGAAGAGTGACAGAAGGAAGAGAAGTAAATCGAGAACAATCACAGAAGTTCTAGGTTTGAGGTAATAAGGGAAATTACCAAACTTAGACTGTTCTACTTACTGTTTTTTCTGGATGATGGAAATTCAGCCTGTTTTAGAGAGCCCAAAAGCAGACCCACGCTTATATAGACACTTGATTTATGACTGAGTTGGTATTATAGAGCAGTGGAGAAAGAACGAACTTTTCAATAAATGATTTTGGGTCAACTGGCAATCCATATGGAAAAAATGAAATAGGAGCCCTGCCTCACAAATACCAAGGGAGGAGGGGAAAATTGAGGTGAATCAAGACCTAGATGTGAAAAACAAAAGCAAAAAGCTGTTAGAAGACAATATAGAAGAATATCCTTTTGACCTTGAAATAGGAGATTGGTAAAATAACAAGAACAAGAGTGTAAGATTGACAAATTTGACTGTTAACATTAAGAACATTGGTTCATTGAAGGATTTTATAAAGAGTGATAAAAGCCACAAAACAGTTACTTGTAATACATATAACACAGAAAGTTAATATACAGAATGTATAAAGAATTCCTTGGAAATAATAAGAAAAAGAGAAACAACTTGTTAGATTATGAACAAAAGAATGAATGTGTATCTCACAGAAGAAGCACAAATACCCAGAAAACATATAAAAAGATTCTCACACTCATTGGTAATAATACTATACCATTTCTTACTCACCAGATTGGCAAAAATTAAGAAGCCTAAAAATATTAAGAGTAAGTAAAAATGTGGAAGGGGGAAAATCTGAAGACACTGCTTACTGGAGGAAATGTAAATTGGTCTAACCACCACTTTAGAAAACAATTTGGCATTCCTCAATTTCATTTGCATGTTTCCTACAACGCTGTAACAGGTACATATCTTAAAGAAATTCTTTCATATGTGCACCTGGAGAAATGTACAGGACTGTTCATAATATGTAGAATACAACTCAAATGTCTACCAACTGTAGAATGGATTTAAAAGGTTTTAGTACATATACACGTTAGAACTCTTTGCAGAAACAGAAATGAATAAACTGCAGTTAAAAGCATCAACATGGATCATTTCAAAATTGATGTTGAAGGAAAAGGCAAGTCAACAGAATGCATAAAGCATGATTCTATTTGTATGAAGTTCAAAAACAGAAAAAATAACTAAACAGCATGTTATGTGAGAATAGGTGCAAGAGTAGTTTTAAAAAACTTTTATAAGGAAAGTCAAAGGTATAATACCATAAAATTCAGAATAGTATCACTTAGAAAGAAGAAGGATGATGTATTTAAGGAGGGGCCAAGGAAGACCTCTAGAAATTGTAATGTTTGAAGTTTTCCTCTGGTTATTGATACACGAGAATACATTTCAATATTTTTCTTCTAGTGTTTGTAAGTTATTTTGCATTTTTGCTGCATTTCATAAGAAAACATTTTAAAACACAAATCAACTTTTAAGCATGATCATTTTCAAACAAATACAAAAGCAGAGGAACTCCCTGTTCCTAATACCCAGCTTCAACATTCATCAACATTTTGTCATTTTTGTTTCTTCTCTCTCTCTAACACACACACATAAACACACACACACAAACACACACACACAAACACACACACACACACACTCTTATTTTTCTAGAGTATTTCAAAGTAAATCTCAAGCATCATATTTGACTAGTAACTATTTTAGTACCTTCCTCTAACAAATAACTTTTTAAAAACATATATCATTGTCACACCCAACAAATTTAGCAATAATTTGTTAATATAAGCCAATGCCCAATTATTGTTCATTATTCTACTGTAGTCTAAAAATCATTTTTTGTAGTTTGTCTATTTAAATCAGGTTAAAACAATGTCCACAAATAAATTTGGTTGATATGTCTCTTAAGACACTCAATAAAAAGTTTGTCCCCACTCATTTTTAAATTTGATGTTTACTCTTTAAAGGATTTGCATCATTTGTCCCGTAGAATTTCCCACATGGCTGATTGCAACCTCACGGTGTCATTTACAATGATGGTTAGTTCTAAAGATTTGATTAGATGCAGATTCACTTTTATTTTTGACAAAGACTACTTCCTAGGTGGTACTGAACACACATAGGGAAGGTGATGTGATGTGTATCCCATCAGAAAATCATAATGTCTGGTTGTGTTATTTTTAGGGATGTTAAGTTGATCAGAAGTTCAGGCATTATCAGTCTGACTTATTCATTACAGAGTTCCCGATCAACCATTCACAGGATGTTTTTCAACATTTGTGAGTGTTACCTCAATCTATTTTTTTAATTAGGAATTACAAATTGTCAGTTTTGTCTTTTTATAATTTCTTCTGCACTTAGAAATTCTCTATGGAGAAGAATATTCTCTCTTCAACTCTTTGGTTAACTTAAAATACAGCTAGCAAAGGAAAAGCAGGATTAATTTCTTCTATTTATCAATTTTTAGGAGAATGAGTTGGTGCCCTAGGAAACTCCAACGCTAAACATTTTTAAGTAAGATTCTGAATTTGTAGATTTTAATATACTGTATTTGAATTGCTTCAATCCATTGTAGTCATTATTCTTGTTGGTGCTCAAATTATCCCATCTTTGGCCAATAGGAGCCCCTTCAAATTGCCTCATGTCTTAAAGAAAAACAAACACAAAAACAAAAACAGTCTCTAGCAGACTCTAATAGTCTTAACAGTTTTCTTTTTTTTTTCTTTTTTCTTTTTTGCTTTCTAGCATGATAAGATTGTCCTAGGTTCTTAAACAGTTCATGCCCAGAGCTGAGTCAGGTATCAGCCATTTCTCTCCAAAAAAAAAAAAAAAAGTCAGCTTGCCTTAAAAATGTTAAATAATGACAAATTTTTAAAAATGTGTTCTACATGTTTATCACGTTTGTGGGAAGAAGCTCACAGAAGAATCTTAATAAAATTTTGTGCCAAGATGACCTGTAGGAAAGCATGAGCCATGAAGTGCTTTTCTCCATGAGTGGTTATACCTTTATGTCTGTGCCAACACTGAAGACACATCCTCTATGTTCTTCAGTGTTCTTCACTGGGGATACAGCAGACTTGATGCCTGCCTCACGGAGCTTACAGTCTGGCGAGAGAGACAGATAAAAAAACAATGATAAGTCGTGATAAATTATACGAAGAAAGGAACAAGACAATAGAAGGAGAGTAACTTTGTGGGAGTTGGGTTACAAACCCTAAAGTAGTGGGGGAAAACCTCTTCTAGGAAGTATGATGAGTAAGAATGGGCCAGCCATAAGAACCTTTTATGGAGCTAAAAATGGAGGGTTGTATTCCTATGGAAGCAGCAGCAAGTTAAAAACCTTGAGGCATGAACTAGTCCATCCAAGATCTACAATCTGTTTTCTCTTATA